TATCTCTCATTTAATATACCCGTGATATAACGGACTTTCCTCGCCATATAGTCCGTTAAATAGAGGTTTTACTGATGATGGCTAGGTGTTCCGTTTTCTGTTATGGAAAATGTCTCCCGACTCTCCTTTAAGCCGGAACTACAGTAAATCAGATAATCTTGTTGGATAGTTACGTTATTTTGAAGGTAGTAGTTAATAGGCAGATATCAAACAGGGAGATGCTACCGCCTGGGAATATATTGGAATATATTGTCTAATGGTAGACCCTGCTGCCATATGTCATCACAAAAATTGTGACCAAGTCCCAGGCTGCTAATCTGACTTTCTGCCTCATTTAATAATAAATAATAATAATAATTAACGGTTTATTGAAAAAGTTCTGCAGCCCGAAGGCTGAAAATATACATTGGACATAAATGACTTACACACAATTGCTGGGTCTCAATTGTTTCTCTTACTTTGACAACACGACATACATATATTGTTTCTCACTATTGATCTTTTTTTTATTTTTTTTATTTTTTTATGGTTCTTTATCATTATTATTATTATTATTATTATTATTATTATTATTATTATTAATATTGTTATTGTTATTATTATTTAATTTTTAGTTTTGTATCTTTTAAAAATATTATTTTCTATGAATTATTATTATTAATTTTATTATTATTATTATTATTATTGTTATTATTATTTAATTTTTAGTTTTGTATCTTTTAAAAATATTATTTACTATGAATTATTATTATTATTATTATTATTATTATTATTATTATTATTATTATTATTATTATTATTATTATTATTATTATTATTATTATTATTATTATTATTATTATTATTATTTCGCCCCCCAGGCCCCGATGTGGGTCAGTGACCCTGTGCCCGGGTGGGCTAATCCCCGTCAACAGAAACAAATAAATAAATAACCTTCCTTTGTTTATGTCAAGCTCCAGTGAGTGAAAAACAAAACAATAAGTGTGATAGGAACACATTTACCATCTGTTCCTTACGCTGCCAGTTCCCACCCCACCCATGTAGAAGTCGCCACAGTCCAGCCAACTCGAGCAGGCCCGGCCAAATGTTCCTAGTAAGAGCTTTTATTGTGTTTACTGAGTGGCGTTCCTCGAATTGCACTTCTTACGAAAAAAACATTGATTCTGGGAGTGCATATTCCCTTTCCCCTTTACCTTCCACCCTCAACTTTCTATTTCTGTCATTCTCTGTTTTTTCTCTCTCGCTGTTTCATTCTCTACCCCTCTCTCTGTTTCCCCTTCACACTTTCTCTCTCTCTATTTCCCTTTCACTGTCTTTCTCAAGTATATACAACCAGTTAACCACGATTGCTAACCTAACCCATCCCTCACCCAGTCTTACCTCTCTTTACCTTCCGCCTGTCATGCGACGGCCATGTAGTCCAGCTGTAATTAATCTTCTCTCATAACTCCAATTACAGAAGAGCAGAGTGTTGAAGGAACCAACTGTATTAGACTTTATCCTTGATTACTCCACGATACAGGACTTTCTTGAGAGAACTATTATTCTTCTGGTTACATAATTATCCTGTAACTAATTTATCCTACACGCTATACATTCTACACCAACCACGAGTGATCACATTTCACGAGCTTCTTTCTGATTGGCTCATAAACGAGTTTGTTGGCCAAGCTGGAATGGGCCATGGAAGAATTGGAGAGGGCCAAGAAAGAAATAGAGGGCCACGTTGGAGAACCTGAAATTAAAAGAAGAGATGGCGAGATTGAAGGGGAAGGCGGGACAGGGAAAGCCAGTGTCAGACGAAAATTCAAGAAAGCCAGTGTCTGACGAAAATTCAAGCGAGTGGAAGGTTGTAAGGAGAGGGAAGACCAAACTGGTGATGAAGAAACACACCAAGGATACGTCAGCAACGACATCAGCAGCTAAGTGTACCAACTCGTTCAGTCCCTTGATAGACGAATTGGACGTTGGTACAGTCAGGGACAGGGCTGACAAGGAAGGTATAAAAACTTTAATTGTTGGTGACTCACAAGTAAGGTACTTGGACAGGGCTTTTTGTGGTAAAAACATAAATAGGATGAGGGTGTGTTTGCCAGGAGCTGGGGTGGGGGATATAATTGACAGGATGGACAATATCTTGTCTGGTAATGGGAACAAACCCATTATCTGCCTCAGTGCAGGAGGCAATGATATTGGCCGGTGTAGGAGCGAGGAGCTTCTTGATAAGTTCAAGGCAGCTATAGATCGTATTAGGACTAAGGGAGGGATCCCTATCATATGCGGTGTCCTGCCTAGAAGGAGAGTTGGCAGTGAATGGTTGTCAAGGGCAGTTGGTGTCAACGACCGTCTTGACAGATATTGCAAGTCAATATCAGTCCCATTCATTGACAACTGGGACAACTTCTACGGCAGAAGGGACCTTTATGCTAGGGATGGGGTGCACCTGTCTAGGGATGGAGTAGCAACCCTGGCTGGGGCTCTAGAGGGGGCAGTTCAAAAGATATCGAAGTCTTTAAACTGCTAGGAGAACATGTGAGCACGGGGGTGGAGGAAAATGCAGTGGGAGCGGGAAAACAAAGTGAAAGATTACAGGGAAATAGTGTTAGGAATAATGACAAAACTAAATTAGACAGGGAGTTTAAAACTAAACGCGGTAAGGGGAGGACTCAGAACACGACTAACCTAAATGTATACTACGCGAACAGTAGAAGTATGAGAAACAAAATGGATGATATTAGGGCCTTGGTATGTACAGAAAAAATCGATATAATAGCATTCACTGATACATGGATCAACCTAGACTCACGTGAGTTACCGGTCGAATACCAAATTGCGGGTTACAAACTGTTCCATACCGATAGGCAGACCAGGAAAGGAGGCGGAGTAGCAATCTATGTCAGGGATAATCTGAAGTGTGAAATAAATAAGGAAATAAAAACTGAGCGGAATATAGAAACAATTTGGATAGAATTAATCGACGGTAGGGAAAAATTAATCACAGGAGTAATATATAGACCTCCCAATCTTGACAGAGTCAATGAGCGAGTAGGGTTAAAACCGAGATAAGGAAAGCCAAGAGGAATAATGAGGTATTGAGGTAAGGATAGCAAGGGAGGCGAAGACAAACCCCAAAGGATTCTACCAAATGTATCAAACTAAAACACGAGAAAAGATTGGACCAATACGGTCAGATACCGGCGAGCTCACTGATAACGACAGAGAAATGAGCAATAATTTGAATAAATTTTTTTCAACAGTTTTCACCACCGAAAATTTAAACATGATACCTGGGGCACCGACTCTATTCAGAGATAGTGAAGAAAACAAATTAAGCGAGATAGTAGTGACTAGTAACGATGTTAGTAAGCAAATAGACAAACTAAAGCCTAATAAGTCACCTGGTCCCAATGAGATATTTGCCAGAGTATTAAAGGAATGTAAGGAAGAGCTTAGTATGCTCTTAGCAAAGTTGTTTAACATGTCCTTAAAAGCAGGTGTAGTACCAGAATCCTGGAGGATAGCGAATGTAATACCGATTTTCAAGAAGGGGGATAGATCACTATCCTCTAACTACCGCCCAATCAGTCTAACATCAATAGCTAGTAGGCAAATTACTGGAAGCAATCATTTCAAACTCTATTCGAAATCACCTGGAGAAGCACCGATTGATCAATGATTCCCAGCATGGCTTCACAAGCGGACGTTCATGTCTAACTAATCTATTAACATTCTTTTCATCAGTTTTCGAATCGGTGGACGAGGGGCACAATTATGATGTGGTATATCTCGACTTTAGCAAAGCCTTCGACAGAGTCCCCCACGAAAGACTAATTAGAAAGGTAGAAGCACATGGCATCAAAGGTAATATCCCTAAATGGATTAGGGCGTGGTTACAGGACAGGAAACAGTGAGTTAGCATTAATGGCACTAAGTCCCATTGGAGCAACGTCACAAGTGGAGTTCCCCAAGGCTCGGTACTTGGACCATTATTATTTATGATATACATAAACGACATAGATATCGGCATAGACAGCAACATAAACAAATTTGCTGATGACACTAAAATAGGACGTGTTATTAAATCTGACGAGGACTCCGCAAAACTACAGGAAGATCTAAACAAATTTTTCGAATGGTCTGAAAAATGGCAGATGAAGTTCAACGTGGACAAATGTAAAGTACTCAGTATAGGAGATGTAAACAGGGAAACCAGATACCAGATGAACAACGATGCCATAGAGAAATCCGACTGCGAGAGAGATTTAGGAGTAATGATAAGTTGGAACCTTAAGCCAAGTAAACAATGTGTTTTTGCTCGTAACAAGGCTAATAAAGTACTTGGGTTCATACAAAGGAGTGTTAGTTACAAGACTAGCGAGGTCATCCTAAAACTGTATCTTGCTCTTGTGAGACCACACCTGGATTACACAGTTCAGTTCTGGTCACCGTATTACAGAATGGATATAGAATCCTTGGAAAGAATTCAGAGGAGAATGACAAGACTAATCCCGGGCATTAGGAACCTTGAGTATAGAGACAGGTTAAAGCATCTTAATTTGCACTCCCTCGAGAGACGTAGAGCGAGGGGCGACCTGATAGAGGTGTATAAGTGGAAGGCAGGGCTAAACAAAGGGGACATTACAAAGGTACTCAACCTATCCAACCAGGAGCGAACTCGTAACAATGGTTTTAAATTAGACAAATTTAGATTTCGGCGTGAAATAGGTGAACACTGGTTTGGAAACAGAGTAGTGGATGAATGGAACAAGTTACCAAATATCATCATTAACTCGAATATGCTGAATAGCTTCAAACATAGGTTGGATGCTTATATGAGCAATAGGGGTTGGGTGTAAACGGGACTGCCCAGTATGGGCCAATAGGCCCGCTGCAGTTTCCTCCATTCTTATATAGTTCTGATGTACTGGTCACTTTTATGATCGAGGTTAAATGATCACGATTCTCGGTCACAAATATTAATTAAAATATCTCTTCACTTATATTTTTTTAACATTTAATTTTTCTTACATATTTATAAAAAGTCAAGATATTTTATAAGATTGTTAAAGTTAGGAATTATTTCAAGATTATATTTTATTACTGTGTTGTTGTTATTGAAGGTAGTGGTGGAGGATAATGGTGGAGGGTGGTGGTGGAGGGAGTGGTGGAGGGGAGTGGTGGAGAGTGGTGTAGGGGAGTGGTGGAGAGTGGTGGAGGTGGAGTCTGAGTGTGAGGGTAGTGATGAAGGGTAGCAAATCTTCATGTAATTCAAGGATTATTAACCTAAAGAGTAGTAGACTGTTCTAGCTGAGGAAGGCGGAGCTGGAGAAACAGGTGGTAGAGAAGGACTTTGGGCTGAGGATCCCCACAAGGGCACTCCAGGTTGATGCCACGCCCCCAGCCAGACCCACCGCCACGATCGCGTACAACAGCACCATCTCCCACCGACGTAACTTTCTGGAAAAAACACAAACACAGACACGTAGGTTATATATAAATCCCATATTACCTTCAGAAGAATAAGTAATACGTATTTTTTTTTTACCGAAGAAGTAAAATAAGCAGAACAGAAAATGGGATGTGTGTTTTCCACTTGACCACCACACAGCTGGGCAAGGAGTGAAGCTATTAGGGTCAACTATGGCTTTGTGGCGGTGGTGATCTATCAGAAGCTCGCACACACACACACACACACACACACACACACACACACACACACACACACACACACACACACACACACACTAACAAATGTGCTAATGAGAAAATAACATGACATCCACCGCCTCTAGGGATAATTCCTGTTGTTATTCCTACATCACATAACACAGTACAGTATATTAGAGCCCCCTATGTCTTATGGGGACCAGAGCTGACTGTACCTGTGGTCTCTCCCCTACTGAGAGAGACAGACAGAAACATGCAACCATACAGACAGACAGACAGACATGCAACCATACAGACAGACAGACAGACATACAACCATACAGACAGACAAACATACATACAGACCGGCAGACAAAACCATGCCGCCCACCTCATAACCAGAGAAAGGGGCCAGGTGAGAACTAATTAGCCTCAGGTGTATACAAAAGACAGAGTGACCAGAGAATATAGCTAATCATATCTTGTGTCACCTGTTCAATATGGTCTCACCTTCCTCTCTCCCCACACCCCTCCCACACCCCTCTCCCCACACCCCTCCCCAAGAACCACCAATCCCCTAAAATTCCTTAAGACACACGAATCCCCCACCAAACCCCACACGAACCCTTACCAAACCCAACCCCCCTAAAGAACCTCCACTATCCCCACCAAATCTCACCATCTCATCTCACCTGTGTGGTAGACCATCGGGACCCGGCAGAGCACACAACCTCATATAACACAACGCGGGTAAGATGAATGACAGGAGTGTAATGGTAGAGCCTCCCATCAGGTCTAAGATCTTGCTAAACTCAGGTACCGCCAGACCTGTCACCACTATTGCCATCATCAGTCCTGTCCTTAACAAGCATCGACGGATACCCAACTCTGTATAGGAGAGAATGAAGGTCATTAGAGGGTGAAGGTCATTAAAGCATCAAGGTCATTAGATTGTAAAGGTCATGTGATTTAAGAATGGGGGTGTGAGGCCAATGTGTTATAGTTAGTATGGTATTTTAGACTCCGTGGAAGTTATCATAGGTGGCCTCAGGGGTTAGGGATAATAGGGTGTAATCTTATACCTCTATGTAATTTAGTAATGGTGAAAAAGTACACTTAATCGTCATACCATTGGGTAAATTGAGAATGCCTTCGATGGTCTGATAAACCGGGTTGACGACGATGACGAAGGCAAAAAGAAAATGACAGAGTAGAAAAACTTGCGCCATTATCACTGCCTTCCCGGACACCGACTGCATGATGTTCTCCTTGATGCCTTGAGAGCCCAGGATGCCGTAGCTGATAATGGAGACTGGCAAATACAGGCCCAACAGAACTGGTAGGGAGAGAGAGAGAAGCTATGATATATTGTTGATGTTATAATGTATTAATGTACTTAACTCAATTTATTTCACCGGCTACTACGAGACAACAACAGTGATTCTTACCACTAACAAGACCAATAACTCACCTGATTATCATTCACCTAAGATGATGATAATTTACACTATAACACCATTTAGTCACATGGTCGTTACCGAGGATGATAATAACAACACTATAACAACATCACTACCTCACCTTACCACTAATGAAGTCACCTGGGAGTTAGTTACCTAGGAATGTGATCACAACACTGTGGGGAAACTGTGACCGATCCTTCATGTCATTCTGGATGGTGGGGAAGATACAAGCGCCCCCCAGAGAGAATAGGATCGAACCAAACCCCAGGAAGAAGGAGTTGAAGGAAGGATTAGGGTACTCGGGGAAGGGATGAAGGTCCTTCTCGATGATAACCTCCGACAACACCACCAGGCAGGCCAGGAAGGTCGACGTCACGGCCAACACAGATGCTGGCCTACAGGAGATGACGACGAGGAGAGAGAGAGAGAGAATGGCTTTATTTACCGGTGTTTTATTCAGTATATTTGACTATATTTGTTGTACACACACACACACTTCCTCCTCTCCACCTTCACCAACACCCTCTTCCTTTCCCTCCCGCACCAGTAACCAAGCAGCAGTCGGCCACCCGTAAGTTCCTCTGAACCGAAGTGTTAGAAGAGAGACAGAAAGAGAGAGAGAGAGAGAGAGAGAGAGAGAGAGAGAGAGAGAGAGAGAGAGAGAGAGAGAGAGAGAGCATTTAGACACCCTCGTGAAGGAAGGATACCAACACCTGTAGCTGTCTCACGCTCTGCTAGGTAAGGGTCGCCAACCTTTACTCTTCAGACACGTGAGTTATTTCTAAGTCCTTTGAGGTCGACGCTCGAGTTCGTGTGTACCGGACGAGGGATGTGCCGCACAATGTTGAGATAAAGTTGTTTGTGATCTTTATTTACATGTGACCTTTTGACCTAACTATGTGACCTGGTGACCTTATCTTAATCTGTTGACCTTAGCTTGACCTCTTGATCTACCTACGTGACCTGTTGACCTTAGCTTGACCTGTCTACTTAACGACATGACCTGATGACCTCCCTCCCTCCAACCCTTCTTCCTCTCCCACCATCTCTACTTCTCTCTCTCATAAGATAATAAGAATAGAGGAAATTGCAGCGGGTCTATTGGTCCATACTAGGCAGTCCCATTTACACCCAACCACTATCGCTCATATATCAGTCCAAACTACATTTGAAACTATCCCTCCCTCCCTCCCTTTCATCCTTCCCCTCCTCCCGGGCCTCCCGCTGCTGGGATCGAACTATTACTTATTACTTATTACTATATCCAGTGTAGCGAGAGGCTCGTGTGTCAGTGTGAGGAGGTCAGGTAGCCTCTGGTCCACCGTGCCTCCCCACCATAATGGCATTTACCAACCACCAGCTGTATTGGTTCTCGGAAGAAAGAGGGAGAGAGAGAAAGGGGGGAAGATAGGAGAGGAGGAGGAAGCGACTGTGGTGGATATCTGGGTAAAGACAGGTGGATCGGGTGAGAAGGAGAAGATGAAGAGGTGGGGAGAGGTGTGTGTTTGGAGGGGTGAGGTGAAGAGGTGACTGAGAGGGTCATTATTACACTATATCACACACCTCACCACAATACATCGTAACCTAATCACCCCCAGGTAGACAAGTGAGTGCATAACGTCACTTGGGGTAAAATTATCAGAAATCCCTAAGTTACTCCTCAAACTAGAACCCAAGGAAAACGTACTTCACCATCTTGGTATAATTTCGGAACTATATTTAATCATTATTTTTGTTAATGTAGATGGAGAAAGGTAAAACTGATTAATATATTTACTTTATGTTACTGACTCCTCTGGGGGATGATGTCGTGAAGGGGAGAGGAGAGCTTTCTGTTGCACTATCTTGTCCTCAGTTATCTAATATAAAGACTTGTACTGTACTCTGGTAGATAAGCTCGCTATAATCCCTTACCTGTTCTGCCAAGTATATTCGTACACACACACACACTCACCAGAACTCCTTAGGTGTGCCCAACCAGGTGAAGGGCGTGAGTATCAGGCCAATGATGAGGGTCCAGGCACACTGACTGAGGGACGGCACCAGCTGGTATAACAGGTCGTGTGTCTGCTGCGACACCAACAACAGGTATACTGTCCCAGCCCCGAACAGTGTGACGAAGAGTGCTACCTCCGTCACGATCCTAGGTGAGGGACAATGAGGGTGAGGGGGAGTGAGGGAGAAGAAATTTAGAGAGTAAGAGACCGAGAGAGTGAAGATATTAAAGAGTGATGGAGTCTGACAATGGGAGTGAGGGAATAATGAACAAATTACTCCCATCCTCAATATCGCCATCACTAACAATCATTAACAATTTCTTCATTCATACTTTATAACAAACTTCTTCCCATAAAACTTTCTGAAACTCCATCAAACTCTGAGATACTTATTGTTATTTCACTCCCTCATTAAACTACCCTGTTATTGTCTTGCTCTAATAACTGAACTACCTCATCCAAAGTCGAAATATATCATCCCGTCTCCAGTAATTACAATCCTATTTTTTTCTAAAGAGTTTATAAACTTTCTCGTACTCGGAGTTACTTTTTTTTCCAGTCTATGATACTTCCCCGGACTAGGAATTAATCACTGAATCCTCAACCATATCGAGATATATGCTGGCCATTGCTTTCTCTTTCTGATGATTTTATCGTTTCCAAGGCAAGGAAATAATATGATATCCCAAATTATAAAAATATAAAACCATGGGCCAAATAAATATATCTACTTTCCTAAGATATATGTAGCGATTATGTCTCCACGTGACTTATCATGAAAACTTTTACCGTAAACTTTTATATACTTCCGTTCTCTGATTATTACCTAACCTACCTCAGCGGGGATCAGCCAGCGAGGGTCAGGGCAGGAAATTGGAGTTTGGGAAAAAGATTTTGTAACATTTCTTTATGACTTGTGTAACTTGTATGGGAAATATAAAATCCCACAGAAGTATTACCTCTCGTCACTAAAAGAAAACTGATCTATAAGCTTCGGTAATAGTGAAACAAACTGAATCCATAGAACCAATTAAGACAGGTGGCGATACTTATGTATATATGTAAATAATTGTGTATATTTTGGATTTGGTACTTTAAGTAACTAAGAATTAATTAGTTTGGTATTATTTGTCATTACTAAAGCACAAATCATAACAGTGTGTAAGAACATGATGTGTTGTGTATTCCTCCGCGTACTTCATACCAACATCGAAGCAAGGGGCCGTGGGGCTGAAACTGAAAATGGCAGACTGGCAGTGTGAACCTATAAGCCGAGGAGTGTGATACACAACGCTGAGTGTAATCACAAACCACCGTGAGACATAGACCCTCGAGTGTATCTAATTACAAGACCAGGTCGGAGTGATTATTTAGAATTTTATATAAACTTTTCGAGTGACCTGGATCCACCATATGGACGTTACTCCAGGCCCAGTAAACAGGCCAAGAGGCTCTCTATCCACCAAGGCTAAGTACCAAATGTTATAACTTATGGCCAGTAGTGTATATTATTTGGGGGAATTATAGGATAGCGTTAAGTCGTAAGATAATCACAAAACATCCAGTAAATTCTTGTTTTAATTTGGTAATAAAAGACATAAGAACATAAGAATGGAGGAAACTGCAGCGAGCCATAGTGGGCAGTCCAGTATACACCCAACCCCTATCGCTCATATATCCGTCCATCATATGTTTGAAGCTATCCAGCATGTTAGAGTTAATGATGATGTTTGGTAACTTGTTCCACTCGTCTACTAGTCTATTTCCAAACCAATATTTACTTATTTCGCGCCTAAATGTAAATTTGTCTAATTTAAAACCATTGTTACGAGTTCGCTCTTGGTTGGATAGTTTGATTCCCTTCGTTTTATCACCTTTGTTTAGCCCTGACTTCCATTTATACACCTCTCTCATATCGCCCCTCACTCGACGACTTTCGAGGGAGTGCATATTAAGATGCTTTAACCTGTGTCTGTACTCAAGGTTCCTAATGCCCGGGATTAGTCTTATCATTCTCATCTGGATTCCTTCTAGTGATTCTATATCCATCCTTTAGTACGGTGACCAGAATTGAACTGAGTAATCTAAGTGAGGTCTCACAAGCGCAAGATATAGTTTTAGGCAGACCATAATTATTTGCAGTTCATTTTTTTCCTTCTTTCAGTGGATCATAAATTCAATCACCAGAGAGGGCGGTCGCGTCAAAAAAAAAAAATTACAACTTATGCCCTACGGCTCGCCTACGAATATGACCCCAATTATTTCTTTTCACGGCCTTATATAAGCTTTGCATTTTCCATAGGATTTTTATGGCTGACAGACGATGTATATAATTCGATGAAAAAAGATCTTAAAATTGACTTATGTAGATAGATGTTTATACTTCAGGTCAATATGTTTACGTAAATGTTTAAGAGATAGTGTTTTGATCATACGTGTATTTTTCTCTTTCATAAACAGATTTTCCAATGTCTGTTTTTAACTTGTGCTGAAGGAAAGACACACACACACACACACACACACACACACACACACACACTGAACACAATAGATTGGCACACATAATCGGATGCCAGCTTACAAACGATTTCTGGAACACGTCAAATGAAGCAGACAGACAGACAGCTGGAGGACAATGTAGGCAATTTTGAATCGGTACAGAATTGCTTATTTCACTCCCTCACTCCAATTAGATCACAGGATTCATGATGTTGCTGGGTGCTCTTAAGTGAGTTTGTCTTACAACCTGTGGACACCTGTACACTATGCAGGTATACTTGAAGGTGTTATGGACATTAGGACACCTTATACATAGTCTTCAAAACTCGAATACGTCAGCTTGTGTAGAAATTCGATAGTGTTTTTACTTGTATATAATGAAATATCCATATAACGGACTTCTTTAACGTACGCTCGATATAAGGGACTCTCTCTCTCTCTCTCAAAACAAAAACAGTTTTAAGTGAGAAACAGCGTGTGAAATTAACCATGTTCTATGCAAATTTTTACGAAAACATATGTAAAGTCATTCAGTTGTATATATTTGTCATTCACTGCAGGGGTGATCCTTCAATTAAACACACCAGGCCGTTTTGTAACAGAAATAACTTGTTGTTGTTGGTAGTGGTGGTGGTGGTGGCTGTGTTGTTATTGTTGATAGCGGTGTTGCATTAGTTATTGTTGTTATAATTTCAATGACATAACTATGTATATGTTCAGAGTAATCTTTTTCAGACCTTAAAATTACAATTAACTAAAATATTAAAACTTGAAACTAACCAGTAAGATTATGACATTTTAAACCAACATCTAGACAAGATCATTAACTACTTGAGACTAATAACAGATTAAAAGGTAAATACTGTACTCACTGTCCAGGTCTGCCCAGGGCTTGGCGAGCTATAACAGGGTAAGGCCTCCTGCAGGGTGCCCGGTACTCCTCCCACCTCTCCTCCACTATAACCCAACACAGGGCTAGACGCGTGCCAGTGTAGCCCACAGCACCACACAGCACCACCATCATCGGCACTCCAGCCCATCCTGAGGAACACAGCAGTTATGAGTCACAGCACCACACAGCATCACACAACACCACACACCATCACACAGCACCACACAGCACCACACACCATTACACAGCACCACACACCATCACACGCCATCACACAGCACCACACACCATTACACAGCACCACACAGCACCACACACCATCACACGCCATCACACAGCACCACACAGTGCCGTATAGCACCACACATCATCACTCAGCACCACACAGCACCACATACCATCACACAGCATCACACAGCACCACACAGCACCACACAGCACAGCGTCAGCCGCATAAGACTAATTGACAGCAACTTTTAAATGCTTTTAGCTTATAATGGATTAAATTTCAACATGTAGGTGATATTATTAAACACAGAGAGAGAGAGAGAGAGAGAGAGAGAGAGAGAGAGAGAGAGAATAGCTATTAATAAAACAAGAGACATAGTTTAAAAAGTTCACGTCGGCCTTTTGATGTCGAATTTTGCTCTAAAAGTGAAAAAAAAAATTTGCATTTTTAATATATTGACATTGAGAAGTTTTCATTATATTCATGAGTCTTGTCGAATGAAATCTTAACAAATTAAATAAAAGTGTAATAAAAGTAATGAAATAAGGATGAGAATAAATAGATTAATTGTGGTTTGAAAAATAACAGAAAAAATGGAAATAATAAATTAGGGTGCATGTAGACATTATATTAAAAAAGGTAAATGTAGGTATTATTATTATTATTATTATTATTATTATTATTATTATTATTATTATTATTATTATTATTATTATTATGGTAGCTGTTGTTGTTGTTTGTTTTTGCTATTAAAATATTCCTACATTGGTTGTTCTTATCAATAATGAACAAATAACATAAAACTCAACAATAACAACCACAATGATAATTAATAACAACAATGTTTTCCAATCATAACTATACCACTAATAATCCTTCAGAAAGCTTTACTTTTATCACATTAATTACGGTAATAACAGGTCATGAGAATACCTGTACATAACCTTAACAGCGGGAGAGTGTGTGAACGGTGCGTGTGTGTGTGTCTCTCTCTCTCTCTCTCTCTCTCTCTCTCTCTCTCTCTCTCTCTCTCTCTCTCTCTCTCTCTCTCTCTCTCTGTTTGTGTGTATGTATCCTATTCTGTCTGTCTGTCTGTCTGTCTCACCACTCACCTGTATTCAGAATAGCGGAGGGCAGGTTGAGGACTCCAGCCCCCGCCATCTCACCTACGAGGAACATAGCCCCCATCCCCATCGTCAGCCCCTTGTGGTTGCGGCCCCCAGAGACCTCCACGATGCTCTCTTTGCAGTCCCCGAAGACCCCGTTGGCTGATGCCGCTGACGCTGCTGGGCTTTCGGCGTCCCCACTGTCAGGAGAAGGAAGGAGAGAGAGTGATGTTAGAGTGATCTATGGGGGGAGAACCTAACCTAATCTAACCACTGCTTTTAAACAGACAAGTAACCTGCTATTGCGAGGTGGGATATGAAAGAGAGAGAGAGAGAGAGGGAGAGAGAGAGAGAGAGAGAGAGAGAGAGAGAGAGGACACACCACAGTGGTCTGGGTAACCGGGAAGAGAAGTAACCATGAAACAATTGAGGCTATTACACGTTTTTCCCCCCAACAAAACTTTATTCTGACCTGGAATTTCAGTCGAGGTTAAAAAGAATTGTTTTGTGCCGTGAGTCGTTAGAAAGTCAATTATCAAAAAAACAACAACAACAATGTAGTTATGATGCAAAACAAATAAATTATGTGAAAATACATTGAAAAAATCTTATTTATTCACTAAAGAAAACATCGCAGTCTAACCCCTTTCACTACAGGGACGCTATTTTTAATATTTTATTTTATTATCACCGTATTGTTATACAGCACAGGTGGAAACCCGTTGAATTTGGTATTTATGTCTACGAAAATGGCTCAGAACAACAAACTGGCATGAAAAGAGGATCTGAACCTCCAGAACACCCGGCAATAGTATATAAAAGAGATCAGAATGTCACAACACCTCATGACAAAGTTTATTCTCCTTGAACTTCATATAACAGACTCAAAACTCTATAACAGCATCACGATAAAGAATTCAACCCTAAAATAAAGGTTTAGAACACAGTATTGACTCAAGAAAGGGGAGGGATTTCAGCCTTACGATAAAAAAGGGTTTGGCGGCCGTAAGCTGGATGAGTTATGGTACCACACGACTTTAAACAGAGATGAGGGAAGGCAGAGGCAGTCCCGTGGTAGATGGAACGTGAGGAGCCGGGTAGGTATAGGCTTACCACATACAATGGTCGGTGATGTATCATTCTTCTTTATAACAGAGAATTTATTTATAAGTTCCACGTTATGTAAAAAATAAATTGATGTTTTTTTTTAATATGTATCAGTTCAGTATGTGTTTTTTTTATGTATATTGATGTGTATTTTTATGTATTTCCATGCATACTAATGTGTATTTTAATGTGTATATTGGTGTTTATTCCTATCGTATCAAATTTAATTCTCCAGTCCATCGATCTGAACGAAGATAAAAGGAAATATTTAATAACATTACAATACTCATTTTCTAAACAGTGAAACGAGAAGAGATTATCCAGGCGGCCATTTTTACTCTTCATGAGGAAATTCCCTAAGATTCCTCCTATTATTTCCCCAGAGGATTTCAACTCGGTTATGTAGTGGCTGCTGATAGGGATATTTTCTTAGGGAAGTTAAGGTAAATGAGAGGAGGGGGATTATGTTTGTGTTTTTTTTCCCTGCTGAGATGTAGAGGTGAGGGGTGAAGGAGGAGGATGAGTTAGGTTAGGTTAGGTTTCTAGGGGAATTTCATCAGCGTTTTTATGGGGTATTAATGTAGGTTTTTATACTTGTTATTCACATCTGTTTGATGAGAGAATATTATTGTGCATTTAGGAAGGGGAAATTTAATTAATTTTACTATTAGTATGTCTGTCTGCCTATGTATGTATGTATGTATGTATGTATGTATGCATGTATGTATGTAAATGTATGTATTCCGCCCTGGTTTCCCCTTTTCAGGTGAGTAAATTACCTCTGGGTGTCTCCATGATAACCTAATTAAGGAAGATCTTGATTACCTTAATCATTCACCACACAAATCTGCCATTATTCTTCACATCTCAAGAGAGTAATTGTAGTCACATGGCAACACCATCAATCAGGTTTTATGGTAGTCGGAAGATTTCATAGTAGTGGAAGGATTTATGATATATGGGGTTAATAAGGAAATGTTTTTGTATGTGTTTGTGAAGAAGTTAAGTATTTTTTTATATACAATTCGATATTTTTTTTGGGGGGGGGGGAATTAAAAGGTAAAAATTATAATTACTTGGTGACAATTGGAAAACAGAACAAGAGAATCTCTCTCTCTCTCTCTCTCTCTCTCTCTCTCTCTCTCTCTCTCTCTCTCTCTCGTCATTAATGAACGGTTAAGGATAATGTCTATGATAGTATTGCATCCTCTCCCCATGGTCCAGATGTGCTGCCTCCTTCACTACACCAGAAAGCACTTAGACAACTTCACTTTCAAAAATTTTACCCCCGGAGTATGGTGACATTGGTTGGAATGGGTTAATTCATCATACTCAAGGGGTTAAGTCATTCTTATTCTTATTATTATTATTATTATTATTATTATTATTATTATTATTATTATTATTATTATTATTATTATTATTATTATTATTATTATTACATCCTCCTCTTCTACCATACCACCAACAAAACTTTGTCTGTCTGTTTTGCAATTAAACCTCAAATGACTAAATGCGTAATCTGCATGCAGAGATAAAATATAGACATGCAATCTATCTCGAGATTAAGGTGTGTGTGTGTGTGTGTGTGTGTGTGTATGTGTGTGTGTGTGTGTGTGTGTGTGTGTGTGTGTGTGTGTGTGTGTGTGTGTGTGTGTGTGTGTGTGTGTGTGAGGAGTTACTGGAGTGTGAGAAGTAAATAAGATTCTCGGGAAATACTAAATGTAATATTAGTCGCTACAAAATGAATGACAAAAACGTTGCAATTTTGTTTTCAGAACGTAGTCAGTGAAGTGATTGTGACAGATACTTTAAAGGTATACTTTAGGTTGACTTTATTTAGGACAGGTTGAGTGATTAATTATTGAGAGAGAGAGAGAGAGAGAGAGAGAGAGAGAGAGAGAGAGAGAGAGAGAGAGAGAGAGATAATTTCACACACGAACTACCACACGTGAATGGAACAAGTTGTTGACTCGACCTCAATTAGAATTCACGTCTTTTTCATCTCTGATAATCCTTTGAGGTCGGTGGTTTAACGCCCTTAATGATGAATGATATTAACGATTTAACGACCATTATTATTATTATTATTATTATTATTATTATTATTATTATTATTATTATTATTATTATTATTATTATTATTATTTTATTATTATTATTATTATTATTATTATTATTATATTATTTTATTATTATTATTATTATTATTATTATTATTATTATTATTATTATTATTATTATTATTATTATTATTATTATAAGCAGTAGTATGATGACTTACATACCGTGACTCACATAAGACGACTCACATGATGACCCACATAGTATGACTCACATTAAAATGACTCAATACTCACATATTCATACAAATTATGTTGTGCTCACTTGTATGTTTTGTATCTGTTGTAAATTTGGACCGATTCCTCGCACTCTTTACTCATGGTGAGTCCGTGTGATCAGCTCCTGGTGGTAATGAGTACTTCTGGCGAGTACCGCTGATGAGTACTTCTGCCTGCTTGGTGAGTACCGTTTATGAGTACGCTTGGTGAGTCTCCAATACAGTCACTTGATGTTTCTGAACTTTCTGTAGTGAGAAATAAAAATATTAATAGCTTTAACATATCACACAAATATAGACCAATCAGGAGGTACAGCGTGACGTCATACAGATATAGACCAACCAGGAACTATAGCATGATATCACACAAATATAGACCAATCAGGAACTATAGCATGACGTCACACAGGTATAGTCCAACCAGGAACTATGGCATGACGTCACTACAGCGTGGCGTCACACAGATATTAAGATTAAATTTCTACATGGGTGTATTTAGAAAGACCCTTATACACAGGTTTCCGTTTTCTGTTGGTGAAGGCGGGAACTTTTTACACATTTATGGTGGATACTTCTTATTTCTGTCAGCTTATTTTATTTCCGGGCACTTTACGTCACCAGAAAGACGCATCAATCTGTTCTTAGGGGGAAGTAGTCTCATTTCTTTTACTTAATTATCTATATATTTATTTATTTATTTATTTATATTTCTTTCACTTAGAGTTGATTTAACTTATAATATTTATGTGTTTTGATAAGTGTTCGATCTCTTTGTATATAATTGGTATTTAATGAATTAATTAATTATTTATTTAAGAAAACTACTAATTTCAATCCTTTTTTTTTAATTAATTTTATTTATTTTTGTTGCTTATTTCATCATTCTCAATATTTTCTAGTTTTCATATTAATTTTATTTATCACTAATTCATTCCTTCATAGATTTTAATATATTTATCTATGTTACTATTTAATTATATACAAATACATAACGTCTTTGTTTTACCTTAGAAGGGAAAATAAATCTAGGGAATTTATAACCCACAAGAGCGCTATTTTTTTTCCCCCCCTAGTGATGGTTCGTGGTACTTTTTTAACATAGTACATCGCGTCAGGTAGCTACAACACCTCACACTTGGTTAGAGTTTAGTGCCACCTTGAGACGCTTATCACCATCAAGAGGGGTTAGTGCTAGTGTGAGGGGTTAAAGGTAGATGGAAGACGGGGGGAGGGAGGAGGTGAGGTGTGAGGGGGGAAGATGGTTAAGGCTAGAGAGAAAATGGTGAGTATCAGAGCGAAGATGAGAAGAGGATGAATGCGTAGGTTGAGAAGATGGAAGAGAGGGGAAAGGAAGAAGGGAGATAGACAGATAAAGAGATAGACAAACACAAAGAAACATACAGACAGAAAGAAACAGAGACAGAAACAGACAGACACAGTCACAGAGAGCTACAAGACAAAATAGTGCGACAGAAACCTAACCTAACCTAACAGAGACATAGAATAGGATAAATGAGAAGCACTAAAGAGGGAGAGAGAAGGGCAGAGAGGATGATAAAGAAGTACGCAAGAAGGAGGAGGGGAAAGGAAGAAGGGAGGATTAAAATGAGGCACGGAGATGGAGGGGAGAGAATGAAAACAAAGGAGATGTGTGGAAGAACGAGTAAACAGGGGAGAGGAATAAAGAAAGGAGGGATTAGAGAGAGGTAGGTAGGGTGGAAGGGGTAAGGAAGAAGCAGGGAGGAAGGAGGGGGTAAGGAAGAAACAAGGATTAAATAAAGGTATGGAGGAGATGAGAGGGTGAGTAAAGGAGAGAGGAAACAAAGTGTGAATGATGGTGAGGAGGAGAAGGAGGCAACGACCTCATACCTCTCTGTAGGTCTCTGACATCATGGTGAGAGAGAGAGAGCCCCTTGTCCATCACTTTTATTGTTACTTAAATAATTCGTCATGTGTTTTTCCTGAGACTTTAAAGTGTTTCATTACGTTAATTTTTTATTTTGTTATTTTTTTTCATAATGTAAAGTTTTGTTTAATTTTCTCTATGATACATGAGGGTAAATATCCAATATGGTATCGTAGTTAATACTTAATATGTACATTATTAAAGTTATTTATTACCTTTGTAGATATAAAAAAAGAAAAACCGTATCTATTTCTTTTTTTTTAGACTACAGGTAATAATATCTTCCATAGACTTCATCAGATTAGCCAAATCATTCCGAAAAGTTTATACCAATCATCTCTAATCAATCTATTATTACCCTCCACTCCCCCACAAGCTCTGATTCCTCGCCGAGAACATTTTAAAGACCTTTTTTTTTTTTTTACTTTTTCTTGAACACTGTGGAGGAGGACTCGAGTCTACTTCACCACCAAGAGAGGAATAGTAGGTAGTGTCCCCGCCCTTGGTACACGAGACTCTTAAACTCGCCTGTCTGAGACGAAAAAAAAATAATAATCAACATAGTGTTTTATGTTTTGGTTATGGCACTTTCAGCCAGACAGGTGTGTGTGTGTGTGTGTGTGTGTGTGTGTGTGTGTGTGTGTGTGTGTTGTAGTATTTTATGCTGGTTACTAACTTCTTACAGAATAAATTTAAGGATTACGAATTACTCTGTTTACAAAGTCGTCTGTTTACGTGGTTTTCTGTTAACGAAGTTTTTTTTTTTAAAGAGTCTTCTATTTCCTGAGATTTTAGTATTTTTATTTTTATTTTTTTTTACATTTCCAACTAATTATTTCAACCACCACTGACACGCACTGGACACTGCATGTTTCCTCCGTGACTAAATATTACCTATACTCACGGATCCAAGCACTAACTAGCCACGGAAGACTCACCAACTAACCACGGAAGACTCACACCCTACTAGCCACGAAAGAAGCCACTCAGTACAATGCTAGTTGTTGTGGAAGGAAAGAAGCCACGGTCGCTACTGACACGACCCATCACACTGAGACCCTGTTATGATAGTCACCCCGGGAGAGTGGGAGCCGTGACCACAATAGGCTACTGAGGATTATAATCGTGTTTTTTATTCGTGCTGTACACATAAGGTCCGGCTGTTTACTGTTAATAGTAAGATTAGATGATATAAGTTATATTTATCGTCAGGAATCATGTTATTAGTATTATTAGTATTATTATAAATAGATAAACAGTAGTAGTAATAGTATATATGTTACCAAAATAGTGCTCTCTCTCTCTCTCTCTCTCTCTCTCTCTCTCTCTCTCTCTCTCTCTCTCTCTCTCTCTCTCTCTCTCTCTCTCTCTCTCTCTCTCTCTCGTCTTATCTACACAGCCCTTCACCCCGTGTTACCTCTTCACTATCTCTATCAGTGTCCGCCCCCCATATAGCAGTGTGTCCCTGATTCACAATACTTTCACTCTTTAAACATCATTTCAGTTCCTACGTACAGAATATATGCAGAAAAGGAAATATTGATTTTTTTTTTCATGAAAGATATTAACAGAATTCTAAAGTTGGTCAGATTTTTTTTTTTTTTTTTTTAGAAATGGAACGAAAAATCATTGAAACGTCGTAAATTCTAATGGGGAAGGATGATGATTTATGGGTAATTTCTCTTCTGAGTTTTAAAGAATTATCTCAAGACAATTATTTTGACGATTGTTTATGTATGTTTCTTTTAGTGTAATTTAGATACGGATTATTTATTTTTATTGGCAGTATGTAAGGGGTCAGTGATAGAAGGGGTCAGTGATGGAAGGGGTTAGTGATGGAAGGGGTCAGTGATGGAAGGGGTTAGTGATGGAAGGGGTTAGTGATGGAAGGGGTCAGTGATGGAAGGGGTCAGTGATGGAAGGGGTTAGTGATGGAAGGGGTTAGTGATGGAAGGGGTCAGTGATGGAAGGGGTTAGTGATGGAAGGGGTTAGTGATGGAAGGGGTCAGTGATGGAAGGGGTCAGTGATGGAAGGGGTCAGTGATGGAAGGGGTTAGTGATGGAAGGGGTTAGTGATGGAAGGGGTCAGTGATGGAAGGGGTCAGTGATGGAAGGGGTTAGTGATCCTTGCCTCCACACCCCAACTAATAACTATTGTAGATCTGCCAGACGGAGGGAGACTTGACCAAAAATATCAAACAACTTACTAATGTCTATTTTGGCGAAGGGAGGCGGAGTGGAGAGCTGAACCATCACTAAATATACATACACAGGGTTTCTAAAGGCTTGTATACACACTGTCCTGTATATTTTCATGAAGACCTCGTGAATGTTTGTTTTATAACAACATTGTCCTCGCCCTTTGATGTGTGAGGTGCCCCACAAGGACAGACAATGTTGGTGTTGAAATGTAAATATTTACACGAACTTCATGCATATATGTAAAGACGTGTGTGTGTGTGTGTGTGTGTGTGTGTGTGTGTGTGTGTGTGTGTGTGTGTGTGTGTGTGTGTGTGTGTGTGTGTGTGTGTGTGTGTGTGTGTGTGTGTGTGTGTGTGTGTGTGTGTGTGTGTGTGTGTGATAATAAAAAAAATAATAAAATAATAATTAACGGTTTATTAAAAGAGCATGGCAACCTGAAGGCTGAAAATATACAGTTGCGTAATTGGGAATGAGTCTCTTGATTGACAAATATTACACAAGTAACATATGTGATACAAATATGATATATAATAACTAGGTGGAGAGAAGGTCATATTACAGAGCATTTCAACATAGTGACAGTGCAAAAGGTAAGATTTGATGGGAGTTGATTACAAGTTATTGACAATTTTTACAATGGTTGGGACTGGGTTGTTCTTATTGCTATCAATACGTGATTGTATGGGCTGGATGCGGTTGTGGTGTCGAACAGCAATTCGTGGACGAGGGACCTCGGGTGGTAGTAGGAGCCAGTGTCGAGGATAGTGCAGAAGCTTCTCACCAAATTGGCAGAGGGGGTCGTGGTGATGGTCAGAGAGAGCCGAGAGGGTCAGTGTGTTGAGCGCCTCTTGATATGTGGAGTAGGAAGGGGAGAGAATAATCTTGCATGCCCTCTTATGCACCTTTTCTAGGTGTTTACGTTGTGTGGCATTTAAGGAGGAAGACCAGGCAGGGGAGGCATAGGTGAGCTTGAGAAGTATGATTATTGAGTAAACACTGAGGAGCTCGGGCGCAGGAATTCCGAGGGACTTGAGTCAGCGGAGGAGGTGGAGACGGAAACTGGAGGATTTGACAACTTTACTGACGTGTGGTTTCCAATTTAGTTTGTTATCTATAGTGACGCCGAGGAGCTTAGTAAGAGTCTACAACCTGGAGTGTGTTGGGACCTAAAGTAATGGAAGAGGGTGGGACAACGTCGGATTGATGTGCGTAACCATGGTCTTGGTGTGTGTGTGTGTATGTAAATTTCATCCCCTTGGCTTTTCTCCGTCCTACCGGATATTAGATACCTCGGGAATCCGCCTTTCTGTTGCAACGAGGAAAAACACATTTCCTGTTCAGTATTGTAAAACATGTTCGTCTACTCTTAAAAGAAAACGAGAACCATAACAATAGCCTCATGATCTTCTGTCAATATTTTTCAGTCTTTTCAACTGTACGATGATCATAAACACTGATCAAATATTTCCTACATCAACATAAAGAACAGTTACAGACGGCTATATAAATTACAGACGAATCATTCTAGTTTATAAATGAAGAAATGTGGAAAATTTCTTCATTATCTTAAGAATGACTGAAGGATTGGGGAGAATCTCTCTCTCTCTCTCTCTCTCTCTCTCTCTCTCTCTCTCTCTCTCTCTCTCTCTCTCTCTCTCTCTCTCTCTCTCTCTCTCTCTCTCTCTCTCTCTCTCTCTCTCTCTCTCTCTCTCTCTAACCACTTTTAGATAATTAAAAGTATCATATGATAAAAATTACACCTTCCCACTCCAACCTTTACCCCTCTCACCCTTTTCCTCCCCTCTCTCCCTCCCCTCCCACCCCATCTCTCTCTCCCCGTCTTCCCCGTCTTACCTCCCTCTCTATCTCCCCTTGCCACCTACCCCTCTCTCTCTCTCTATCCCTTCCCACCCTCTTCCCCCCCTCCCACATCCTCCTCTTTCACAAACCCAAATTAGGTACCACTATCGACACCACCATTACCCTCACCCACACTGTACCACCATAGAGATAGGCCAATTACTCACACAACAAACCCATAATAGAAACGAGATAGTGGTTGTTTGTTCATGACCTCGGTGCATTGTTTGTCTCGGGGGATATAAAAATTCATGATTACTTTTTGACGCAAATGAATAACAAGTGGATAATGCAGATAGCGGTCAGTGTGGTGGAATTTTTATTCGTATACACTGAGTCATGTGAAAAAAATATATATGAATGGATTTATAACTAAGGAAAGTACATTATTATTATTATTTTTTTTTTAGGGTAAGGTTTGGTACAGTGTGGTAGTTAGGTTAGGTTAGGTTATGTGTGGTGATGGTTGTATTGTATTGTGTTGTTGTTAACTATAGTGCGGTTTATAACATTGTTTACTATTATAACTAGCCTTATTAATGCTCATTGTTGTTAACTTTATTTCACCGTTGCTAACTTATTATTTATGTTAATGGTAATATATTAAACCTAACAGAGCCTTATATAACTAAGATTTATTGCTATTTTATTTTGTAGTTTTAATTTGGGGATAAAATCAGACTTTGTTTATGTAATTTGTATAAACATTGACAAAAATAAGAACAATGTAATAATCTACAACATATTATACATTTGTGATGATTATAGAACGTTTTATAGATGACTCTCTCTCTCTCTCTCTCTCTCTCTCTCTCTCTCTCTCTCTCTCTCTCTCTCTCTCTCTCTCTCTCTCCTAGCAGCTGTCATGATCAACAAGTCTCGTGTGTCTGTATATAACAACCAGTTCTTGTCAGTATTCCTGGGGTCAGTTTCAGTCTGGTCCATAGTTCAATTCATTTGGGCAGATCTATCACAGTTTCCCCAGGGATTGTCACATCACAGTTTTCGAGTCCTTGATTGTATGTTGTTTCCACCTTTCAATATTGTCGTGTTGGTGTGAGTCGTCCTTTGTGCTGTGAGTGTGTGAAAGCCTTGAACAATGTGAAAGTGACGAGATATACCACAAATAATTATGCGTGTCAGTAGTACAGTGGGGTGTTGTTATCACCCCAATGTCACAGTCAGTTATTTTTTTTTTTGATAAGATATTGAAAATAATAGATACGATTGTAATAAAAAGATAGCACGTATGTATGATCATCACCATCATCACTATCATCATCACCATCATCATCACCATAGATAATACATACTCACTATGATCGTGAATTCGCTATTTTTAATACAATGAAACATCTTCAACTAAAAGCTCAACGAATATCAACAACTTTCAACTTTTTTTTTTTAATTTTATAACTTTTCTGAGCTGGAAAACTCGACTCGTGTCTCTTACTGTATAAAAAGTTTTTAATAACGCTGAAAAAAAAATGTGACGGGATGAAACTTATGGCCGGAGTCTCTGAGTTGTCTTATTATTTTGTCAAGAACCTTTTCCCTGCTACTGCTACTGCTACTGCTACTGCTGCTACTGCTACTGCTACTGCTACTGCTGCTACTGCTGCTACTGCTACTGCTGCTACTGCTGCTACTGCTGCTACTGCTACTGCTGCTACTGCTACTGCTGCTACTGCTGCTACTACTGCTACTGCTACTGCTGCTACTGCTACTGCTGCAGTTTCCTGTGTTTATGTACTATTATAAATCTGTCTGTCTCCATGACATAGAATAATAGTGCCAGTGCAGGCAGATGACGAGCATGAGTTCGTCTGGCGAATCTCCCATAGTCTTGTCATCGTTTGGTGCAAGAAAACACCAAGATCACTTAATTATTCAGACAGGCGTTGTTCTAGTGATAGGACGAGACATGATCCAGGGTTTGTCCTCATAAGACATCTAATAGTGTATTAACTGGATATAAGAAGACACACATCTAGTAGAGTCTCAGCACAATA